TGGAAACAACCGGCGGAATCTCCGAAACAAACCACAACTTAGAAACCAATTAATCTCTCGGGATAATTATATTAGAGAATCACTTCCAAAAAAGGAGCTGTAGAGTAGAATAATTACATTTATTTTTCCTGCTAAGCGATTCTAAAACGAAAACGTGGCACTTTTTTCCACTTTCCAAACATTGATCATACATATTTTTGCGACTCTTATGAATTTCAACATTTCATTTAGAGACTTTAACATTTCTTAAAATTATAGTAACAAAATCTACATTAATTTTGGTGGAGACTATGAGGAAACTATTGGTTTCTTTTAGAACAAATTTACTCTTTATGGCTTACCTAGACCCATGTTTGAAAATTGCCATTATTTCTCTACACCAACAAAAGAAAAATAAACAAATGTCTATGATCAATGTCGCGCTTAAGGAGAGGATGGCTCATGGGGTTTCAGTCTCCCCACAAGCCAAACATATTAAAAAGTACAGTTTTAATACTTTTCTATATCAAAGATAGTCATTCAATAGATTAATTGTTTACGTTATAAAATTTATGTATTTCAGCATTAACTATTAGGTAAGATAAAAAATCCTTTTTATATTCAGCATAAATGAAAAATTCTTTATAAACAAAACATTAAGTCGCTTGGACACTACTAGTAATCCCCTTCCCAGAGAAAAATTCTGTAGTTGTTAGGGGATACAGAAAATAATTGTTTGGAAGGAAGAACAAATCCGGCAAATAGACTTATTTCGTATTATCTTGCAGATTCTGTTCTTACTTTTCCTCCCTGGGCTCAGAATCGAAAATTGGATTTACACTACACGATCTCGAATTTTCGGTCGTATAATCCTGGTTTAAAGTTATTTTGCTTAGAACCTCCACACCACGTGAGGGTTGAGGTCTATTTAGTGCTGTTCCAAAGGTGGTTAAGTCGTCCGGATGACCGAGATCGTTAAGGCAGTAGTGCCGTAGCGATCTCGAACTGAAGGTTCGAGTCCCGCATCGGGTGTGGTTGTATGTGTGTTCGTCTTTTTATGCCCTGTCATCACCATATCATATCATCTTCATAGTCACCAAAAGAAGATCGGTGCAAGTAGAGAGGAGATACCTGCAACTTTGTACCCGAAAATCGGGATGTCAGACAGTGCGTGCACTATGGACGGATGGACGGACAAATGGAAATATGCATAACTCAACCAGATTACAAGCATTTGAGATGAATCTTGGTAAAAATTTCAGGGGTAGAAATCTAGTTGTGCCGTTCCGAAGATTATTGACATATTCTAATTTTTAAGAGTACTTTACATAAAACCCCTGTGACATTTTAACACTTTACCTTTTTTTCATAAAAAAATTCTTTGCTCGAATAGAAGAAAGTGAATTCGTAAATATAATATAGCTCTCATTTTCATTGGAACATCTGATATTTAGAGAATTACGAAAATCTTGGTATTTGAAACACTTGGGTATTCATTTTAAAAGAAAGAGTTCCCCCGAATAAGATGGTAAAAGAGGTCACTAAAACCAAATGACTTATGAGTAATTTAACTATTACTATAATATAAATCAAGATTTTTTAAGGGTTTCTTAGCCCCCTCCGTTCACACCCACTCGTCCTCAGCCAACGTGTTTTTATATTATTTTTTTGTCAAAATATCATTCACTTTTCTAATTGAAAAACTATGAAAAATAATAGAATAATTTATACTATCAAAAACATTTTTTGATAGGAAACAATGTTTTTTTGAAAAATATTTAAAAATACATTTTTTGCTGTGCCTTGAAACACTGTACGGGAGGTACGAGAAAATTTCACAAACTTCCTTTCACAACACCAGTTGTGAATTCGTTTCCTATTTTTTCGATTGCTGGGCTGTAAAAGAATAGAATTAGATTTTTACCCTTTTCGGCCTTTAGTAAGTGTGGTAGTTGAAGCAAAGGTCCGTACACTACCTTTAAATTAAATTCTCTAAAAAGAGAATCCCCTCCCCCCTCCCCCCCCATCACAAAAAAGCGTGATCGGCGCAGGAGCTCAAGCCGGGGTCAACTGGCAGTGTTCCCGTTTTCGCCTTCGTCTAAAATAGAAGCGATACACACGTCATTTGCATTCATTTTACAAAGCAATTTCAGCAATTGAATAACCTTGCGTAAAAAAACTGAATAAATGACTTTTCTGTTCAAGTTTGGGATTACAAGAAAGCTATTCTCCGTTGCCTACTAAAAACGCACTTGCTTTGCACAAAACAACCTTACATTGACTGCTCTCATTATTAACAAGTTCTAGCAAATTAAATTATTCTCAATATTTTCCTTAACACTGAGAGGGTTGTATTCTGCAAAAGGAATCTCAGAATAACCTGACAAAGGCCAGGAAAATCACTTCGAAACTCTATTATCTACCTTTTGCAAAAAGTGTTTCATTACTGATTAGGTCAGATTGAATAGTTAGAAAAAATTCAAAAGAAAGCAATGAAATTCATAAATAAGGGATCTTTGAGTAGTTCAAATCCACCAAAACCTATAGAGGCCCTCAGTGTGCGAAGAAAAAAAAGCCAGGTTGTGTTGCCTCTTCAAGGCGTACAGTGTCACCTGCATGTGCAGAAGTAACGAAAAGACTAGACGCTCCTTCAAGAGTTGGGAGAAACAATCGCAAATGCAAAATAAAAAGTAGATGTCAGAGATCCGACGTAGGGAAATATTCATTTGTAAATCGTACGGTTAAAAATTGGAATGAAATACCTGCAGCAGTCGTAGAGCCTTTTCCTGGCTCTGTTGATGTTTTCAGAAGACGACTTAAGAAGTACTTGTAGAGAATGTATTTTACCGCACAGCTCAAAATCCAAAATTCAAGTGATTTGTAGCGTATTATAGATAACGTGTGGTGTAGTGCAGTGCAGTGGAATGCTACATTACTTAGTTATATGGCTTAACCAAAGAAAGATATGGTGAAAGTGTAGTGTAGTGTAGTGTAGTGAAGTGAAGTGAGAGAATGGGTGGGGAACAAATTTAGATGTTTAAAGAGCTAACTTTAAAAATCCACATTGTATTTCTATTTAAAAAAAGAAATTGTATAACTGGTTAATTTTATGTATATGTATATCTATACATGTTTACTAGGTGTAACTAAGTATATGTTCTTCATATAAATGTAGGCATGTATACTATGTAGGGCAAGTGTGTGTTCGTGTCACGTGTGAACGTGAGAGTGAGCATTCATTATAAGAATGTGTATGTATGTGTGTGACGGTGTGTATGTATGTATATGTGTGTATATATACGTATGTATGTATATGTGTGTATATATGTATACAGGTATGTGTATATTTATATATTGGGAGTATATGCTCGAAAGGATTGTATTGTAAATTGTTTTTGGATTGTAAGTGTACATATATTGTAAAACTGTTGGGTTATGGCTACTACCTGGCAATCAGACAATTGTAGCCAAACAATTATTATTATTATTATTATTATTATTATTATTATTATTATTATTATTATTATTATTATTATTGTTATTATTATTATATTTGATGTTATGCGCTACTGACACGCTACGAACTAGTGGTGCTACAACAGTACATACTTTCTCACATTATTTCAGAATTTGAAATTTTCCAAATTAAGAGAGTTCAATTAAAATGAGACTTGCGCAATTCTCTTAAACGTTCCTTCCTCTATCCATGGAAAAAATTCGAAGAGCAAAATTGGAGCGGTTTTGAAACAATGTTTTTTTTAAATAAATTTCATGCACTAATTGAAGACTACAATTTTTTTCAAAACAGTGATATGACCTTTCTTAAAGTGCTATTTTTTTAAAAAACAGATTGAGTTTAAGTTAAAAATATGTCTTCAATTTTGTCGTTTTGCAATATAAAATTTTGCAATTTCCAAAATGCAGAATTCACAGGAAATGAGACCACCTTTGACCGTCCTTTGTTACATACAATAAAATTTAAAGAAAAAAGTTGGAGCCGTTTTTGCGAAAATAATTGTTTAAAAAATTAAATTGCCTATATTTCGCGCAAAATTACGCGAAAACTGCTCATATTTTCGAAAAATTGTAAATGACGCGCTGTATAGTTCTGAACAAGGCCACAGTAAGATGGCCGAAACGTCAGTACAATTGACCGAGACGCGGCTCATCACGGATAGCCAAAAATGCATGGACTCTGGCCGCGGAAGCCTACGAACGCAATTGTACATAACTTTTTTTCGAGGTCTATCTTTAAAAAACAGATTTCATTTAGGAGAAAATCTATCATCAAAATTGCAGTTGTAGGAAGACGTCGAAAAAATTGAACTTTTACCAATACGGATTTCAAGTAAAATGAGACCTGAAAAATTCTCTTAGTCGGCCTTTATGTTATCAGAGGACAAAATTTAATCAAAACTTTTGGAGAAATTTTTGCTAAAATGTTGAGGTTTTATATAAAATAACCCTAAAATAAAAATTACCGTTTCAAACACAGGGCCTCGAATTCATTTAAATCGATTGGGGAATATCAATTTTGGAGAAAATCGGCTGAACTGTTTAGGCTCTTGCATTGACTACAGACGGACGGACAGACAGCCGTTTCGCCACCAATTTATTTTTCGGTATCAAGGACTCACAAAATGTCGATTCTGGCTACACAACATGTTAGAGAAAGTAATTTATTATATACGAACAAGATGTATCCAGTTTTCTAATACCAGAGCTTCGAAAATTTGCCGTTTTCTTGAGTACGATTACAATACTTTCTCTTCTTACGAGGTTAGTGCTAGAAAGGAAAAACAAATAAACTGTCTTGATTTGATTTTTAATGACAGGTTTGGCATGAAAATCTCTGAGCGAAGTAAGGCTTTGAGCGAGCTGTTTGAATTTCCGCGTGGCTCCCGCCTCGGCCACACTCCTTTGTTTCGTTACCAACTAATATATTTTCATGCTTAATGTTGCTATTGTCTAGAGAACGTGATGTCTGTAGTAGTGGCACCTGGCAGCACTGAGTAGCAGTTCTGTCTGTCATCAGAAATATCAGAGGGACGTTGTACTTAATTTGTTAATACTTGTTAGCGATTCTTCTTCCCAATTAATATGTTTGGTAAACACCAGTATTTGTTTAACAATAATAATTATTTTAAATTTGACAATAAACAATTGAGGGGAGTCCCTGATTAGACCAAAGTGTTTCGTCATATCCTTAAATAGAATTGCACGTGAAAAAGCCAATGTGGCAACGCTGCAAAATGTGCGGAATGGATCTTCACTTCTCTGAGGCATCGGGAAAAACAGCGGGGAAGTCCCCGTATCTTAGTGCGTTGCTTGGTGTCGGTGTGGGAGGAGGGAGTGGATTACAACGCAATCAGAACCAGGAAACTACGGTAAGTTTCAGTCTGTGTTCTGCCTTTGAGTAGTGTGATCTTGGAAGTATCGTAATTCAGATTAGATTTGATTCCTTTGAGACAAACATTTTTATTTTATAACCATTGGCATTGACAAACTGTCAAGCGAAATAATGTCGACTTTATTTAATTGTTCGACTGTTGTAATCGGTGACCAGTTTTCAATTGGTAAGTGTGAATTAAATTCGATATTGTTTCGTTATGTTTCACGCGTCAACAAATAACATGTAGGTTACTGATTGTAAATATGTCGTTGCAGAAACAATGAATTCAGCATCCAGTTTTGAGTCATCAAATAGCTCTCAAGATTCCTCGCAGGAAAGTGCTACACTGGGCACTATTCCGTATTCGACAATTAACACAATGAATTTGCGTGCTTTGTTATTTGATCCATCAACAATGAATAGAGGTAAGGTTCACAAATATGAAAATACTGAAAATTGACTACCACTTGTTTCAACAAAATGTCCATTCAGTGAAATTGAATACAGTTTTTAAACTAAGTAAATATTGTGTTTTACTTGTTTGAATATAATTATGTAATTATGAAAAAATGATACGGCAAATTTTTTAATTTTGAAATGAAGGTAGTATCTTAATTTGTCAGGAATGACAGTAACAATTTTTTTTATCTCAAAAATTGTTTGAAATTTGTAGTAGCAACAGTTCTCTTAAGATAGGCATTATAAAAATGTTAGGACAATTGATAGTGGAAGAAGTTTCAATGTGGTAATGGGGTGATATTTTGACAATTAATGAAGAATTCTTTAGAATTCTCTTGTAGCAGTCTAATTGAGTGTGGGTTCTAAATGTTTATACTGAAATTCAAAACTAGCTTTTTGAATTTGTATCTTTGTTGATTCTAATGAATGTGAATAGAAGTACATATTTTTGTTTGTGTTGTCAATCTTTTTAGTTAACTCTTTACTTCTTAGTTTCTTTAGGGTCTTTTTGGTCAAGATGTTTGTAAAGAAGGGTTTAGGTAGTTCATTAAGACAAACATTGAGTACTTCGTGTTTAAGAAATTATTATTTTACAATCTTATTTTATGTTCAACTTAAGGAAATGTTTTCACAAGTGGCCATTCAGTTTTTATACTTTACCGGGGAACCCCCAGGTTTTTATGTGTATGTATAGTTGAGGGTAGGGAAGCCCGTTGTACGCATTTCTTAATAATTGGATGCAATAAATGTTAGATTTAATATGCAAAATATTTTTACAAGATACCATCTGTCTTTTACTGGAGGGGGAATCCCACAGTACTTTCATCTTCCCAAGTGTGGCTGAATTCAGTTTAGAGCCAGCTCTCCTGCTGTCTTTGCAGCATCTGACAGGGAGGTCCTAAGGTGGCGGATTTTTGATACTAGCTCTTCAGCAAGGTCAGATTCACCTGCTATCTGTCCCAAGTCTAGTGACTGGGTGGTCTGATTGTTAGTTGTCTGTGGTTTCTTCTATCAATTTTGCAAATGCCAGAGCAGTGTCATAACAAACAGGCCACAGACCTCACACGTTTGTTCCTTTCTCTTCCTTGACCTATCCTCTCCCCTCACACACCCTTACATGCACGTCCAGAGCTTAGGTATTGTCCCGACTGGGGCAGTGCCCCACTGGGGAATACTTCGAGGGGTATCCTGTGCAAGTCGACTTGTAGGTCAGCACAAGATTTCACCATTTTACAGGGAAGGAATCGCCACCACTTTCTTTGTTAAAAACATTCATTACACTAATGACCATAGCAGTTCCTGTGCCCAGAAATATCATTCAATCAACAAAGAGTGGTTGCTGGAAGTACATTTTTGTGGTATTGAAATGGAATAATAATAATAAGACTAATTGTTCTGTGTATAAATTATGCAAATTATCATGATTTATCTATTTGTGAAAATACTTAAGTGGGTGAGTCCAGAATTGTCTTATATTACATGAATTTCTTATTTTGGGAGTTCTCCATATGGTATTTGAGTAATGAAAATCTGTATTCACTTCAGCTATGTGAAACATTTTTTAACCCCTCCCCCGCACATACAATTGACATTACACAAACCCTAGGGTACATAAAAATCCACTTGAAAAATTCATTGAAATGTTTTAATGATTTTTTTAATTACAGTGGGGTTTTCTTTTGTAATACTCATTTTCTTTTGTAATACTCAATATTGAGAATGATCCCCGATATGATTGACAGTGATTAAATATTAACGAGATACTGTACTATATACTGCGAGTTATTTACAGCTGCCTCTGACATGTTAACAGTTGTTATGGTGTCATCTAATCTGGAGCTTTTTTGTCACTATAGTGACGTTCAACCTTCTGATTGAATGATATTGTATCAGCTGATTTACATCAGAGGCAGCTCTAAATAAATCTGAGTACAGTCAATCCGAGATTTCTGTGATTTGACAAATCCTACAATAAATGCTTAAGAACTCAGAATGTTTACTATTAGAAAAAATCCTTTTCACCTTCTTTAAGTGCAAGAGAACTAATGATACATTGTCAAACAACCGATTGTAAATGCTAATTAGCTGTCACTCACTTGGAATGTTCATTGTTGGCAGAAAACCCACTGCCTTTTAGTGTAGGAAAGTAAGAAATTATATATCGTTTTATGTACGCTTGCCATTTTGATGTTCGGTTATCCAAATTATCGAATATCCAAACTATACTTGGCCCCAATTAGTTTGAATAATCAATGTCCTGTGGTATTTCAAATAAAATAAGATTACAATTTTATGTGACAAAATATTCACTAAAAACTGAAAATGGATCACAACAAATGCATACAAACAAGTATGAAAAACCAAAGAATAATAATCTGTGTAAACTGACCATAAAATACTAACAACGTTTCCTAGTACTGAGGACTCCAATTTCATTACAACAAACTCACACAAACCAATTCGACTGATAAACCTGGTACTGGCAGGTTTTTGTCACTCGCTGCAGCCAGCTGCTGTTTATGAAGTTTCTTGAGTATCTGTCATTGCTATCAGGCGTATTTCAGGGAATTATCCCAATAAGTGGGCCATAGTCTTCCCATGAACTTCCCTTGATCATCCGTGTCCCCCTCTGCGCCCCTTACACACACACTTGCATGCACTACTCTACCACTCACGTTGGGAGCATAGAACTTGTTCGGGCTGATGCAGAGAAGATACCTGGAGGGGAAACACAGGAAATTGACATACAGGTCAACACTGGATCTCATCATCCAGTAGGGGAAGAACTGTCTGCTGGGATAAAACCTTCACTATACTAATGGACTAAGGATGTAGCTGTTGTTGTGCCCAGAAACATCGAACACACAGACAAATCAAAAGACAATGCATCTCTACTTCTAATTTTTGTTTTTCATGCAAAATTTTACCATTAAATTAAACTTCATTAGCTTACCAAGAATGAATTAAATGCCTCATCAAAGATTTACCTCCTTTGGATAGTCAAGTAAATTCAGTGGACAGTAAAATACTCTTAAGAAATTTATTAGAAAAAAAAAATGAATGAAATGAGATACTGGAAAATGTCTGAGAAATTTAGTATAGGAAGAAAGTTGCCTCAAGAAAGTGTTACACTCTGTAATCAAAGAATGCTTTGTTAATCAGTGGATTGTCTTCAGAATTTTGATGAACTATTGAAAGATATAATTTAATTTTGATATAGTTGATTCTGAACAAATGTTTCATGTGATTTTTCAAAAATAAAAAGCATTTTAATTTACACTAGGTGACAATTTTGTTTCAGAAGAGCCATTTTTAAAAGTTATTGAAGAACCTGTTGAAAAATTCAGGTTTCGTTACAAGTCTGAAATGATGGGAACACATGGCAGTATTTTGGCCAGAAGCCATGAAAGGAATCGAAGGAAAACTTATCCATCAGTTCAGGTAAAATGCTTACCATTTGCATTACATTTGAACTTATTTTTTATATTTAATTTTACATAAACTGTACAATTATGGAAGATGTAAAGTTTTAGGTTTGCTGTACTATTGTAGTGTTTATGTTAATTGTTGTAATTTCCTTCTCTAATATTTTGTAGTAATTAATAATTTAATTTTTGGTAGTTGTAAAAATTTGTTTTCTTATTTTTAATTAACTAGCAGGAATGCCATTAGTCTCTAAATTAATTGCCTGCGTAAAACTATTAAATTTGACAAATTTTCATACTGTATATCTTAAAGCATGAAAGAATATTCTGTTAGTATTATTCAAACTCCGAGTTTTCTCAAATAATTTATTTGTTTTTATAGCTTTGCAATTACGATAGACCAGCAATTGTGAGGTGTTCTTTGTATACTGCACATCCTCATGAGAAACAGCGCACTCCCCATACTCATCGGTTAATAGTACGTGCTGAAAATAACATGGACAAAGATGATCCACATGAAGTGATTGTCTCACAAGACAACAATTACATTGCAGTGTAAATATCATTCTGCATGCTGAATTGGTTGGATTAATGTTTTATACAAATCATTTTTGTACTCAAATTTTTTATTTCCCCCTCTTTAGATTTCATGGCATGGGTATTATACACACTGCTAAGAAAAATATTGTTGAGGAGCTCATTAAAAAGAAGCGTTCACGTCTCCTAGAAAAACTTAGAGTGAAAAATGTCAAATTAACATCCTTGAACACTGTTCAAGAATCTAAGGTATGCTTCAGTGTTCTGTTATTTCATTGTAACAAATTATTTGTTGATAAAAGGGTAAGTATTTAATATTTATGACAATTGTAATTTTGGTTTATTCAAGCATTGATATTTATGACTAATTAATTAACTTGTTATACTAGTATTATTATTTTTTGTCTCTCCAATATCTGTATTATTCTAAAGATACAAAGCAATGCATTTTCAGAATACAGCACCTTTTTTCTGAATTGGGAAGCTCAACATCGTCTGATCTTTAACGCTACTGCAGCAGGCCGTTTTTTGATGCGCACTTCTAGCTGCCTTGCAATGCTAACATGCTCTCTAGTCCTAGTGTGGAGGAGTTAATTAATGTCGGGCACAATTTATTGAAATTATTAGTATCTTTCGAGTCATGTTAAGTGAAATATGGACAACACGGAAAGCAAGAATTTTCAAAAATGGCCCCAATTTGTTTTTATTTCTCTTTTCGTGCAGTTAGTGCTAAATACACTGAATAACATGATACAATCCCGTTTATGCCGTTTTCTTTTGATTAAAAAAAATACACAAATTAATGTTTCAAATGTTTCTTGTTTATATTAACATTGCAGGTGTTTTTTGTTCAAGATTTCATTCATGAATTGCATTGCATAATATTGCAGTCCCTTTAATTTAAAAGGAAACTGTTTGGAATAGAGCATAGTATGCTTATAAAAATTGCGCAGGTCCCATTTTCAGTGAACTCTGCAGTTTTGAAAATTGCAAAATATTAACATTGCAAAACTTTAACAACAACACTATTGATGACTTTTCCTTAATGAAATCTGTTCTTTAAAACTAGATATTGAAATATTGTCAATGAAAATTATGAATTTTTGAAACGTGCAAATGGAAATGTTCATAAAATTTCCTTTATTAAAGCTTCAGGAAGGTCCAAGTTTAGGTGTGAGGCTGGTGTTGCAAGGATAAAGTGAAAGGCATGCTAAACCGAAGATCTTGAGTTTAAATCCCAGCATGGGGGAAAAATAGGAAATAAAAAAAATGTTTTGCTGATTAGAAACACTTCTGTAGGTTCAAGTAGTACAGTAAAATCTGTCTTAACCGGAATCTGTACAGGGCGGAAACATGCCTTATCCGGAAAAATTTCTCTGGCTTGTAAAGTTATATGGTATTTTACACAGCACAAAACAGAATCTCTCCAACAAGGAAACGGAACAGTTTTTCATGTCCTACAGGGACATTCCTAAAATATTCAAAGTCCTAAAGTCCATATAAAATGTACAAAGTCCTAATCTATATATAACAGGATTCCTGCAAACTTCATGTGATTAACAGAGACACGAGATATTCTTAATGTAATGAATGCATCTTCAAGTCTGTTTTAAATTCTCTATCCCCCGCAATTTACTTGTGCCAACCGCACTGTGAAGGAGAGGGGCTTCAGCTGACATGGTTAGTTCGACCATGGGGTGATGTGTCTCTCAAAGTGTAGGTCATAGGGGAATTCCCTCTCCTCTCTGATTGTGGGAAGGTGTTTGGCTTCTATTCATGCCTCTCCATGCACCACGTTCAAAATTGTAACCCCTCGGCCAGAGACACATTGCTCAAGATGGGGTAACAGTTAGCGTATCAGACTATTATACCCAAGTTGGCGAGTACCGAACCCGATCAAAGCCATGGATTTTTAAGGGTGAAAAGATCCTTCCGAGGGGAAGTAAAAGCCAGGTATTCCATGTTAGTAGATTTACTTGCATGTAAAAGATCCTAAAGCCTAAATGACTCCTGAGCTAAATTCAAATTGCCTGTTTCAAGAAATACCTCCTTTCTCTACTAGTGGAGAAAGGAGTGTAGTGAAATTTGTCTGGCCTGATTGGCAGAGTCTCGCCATGAAAAATAAGGCATTAATTCAATTCAAGGCCATGTGAGGGTATCAGAAAATCTTAGTACTCTCGGCTGTGATGCATTTTGAGGTAAAAGAGTCAACAAGCAGTCAGATTTCAGATTTTCATGGTGTGTATTTTTTTGTTTCACAACCAATTTAACAAAGTAAAAACCATAAAAGTCCAATATTTTCTAATGTTATATGTAAAGTTCAAACTTTGGAAGCAAGAGAAGCTCGGAAGCTGTCAGTGAACAATGTTAAATATTCATTTATTGGTAATTTCTTCCATAAATACGTTATACTGTATGTAAATCTATTTTAATAATAATAATAAAATCATATTATTTTTACTTTACTTTAATTACTTCTTTACTTACATTAATTTACTAGTTTCAGAACGGAAATATCAGTATCACAAGTGTCGTTAAGTGGACATCACTACATAAAATGGTACCTTTTTGTCCCAATTGATTTCAGCTTAGACAGATTTTACTGTATTATAATATTGCATAGTGGTTAGAAAAAAATGTGTGAAAGTGTGTGATATCGTTCCCTGCTTTTCTTTTTATATTTAGAAGAGCATTGAAATTCTATTATTTCTTATGTATAATTTTATAATACTTGTGTTTAAATTTTCAGTTAAGACAAGATGCTGAAGATGAATCTCGGAAAATGAACTTGAACAGTGTCTCACTGTGCTTTGAAGCATTTTACCGAGATGCAAACAATTGTCTGCAACAAATTTGTGATCCTGTCTTTTCGAAGCCTATAAACAATATGAGTAAGTTCTTTTACATAGTTTTTTATGAGAAACTATGAAAAATTTTCATTATTAAAAATCTGAGAGCACTACTTGCCGGCTTTGGTGGCTCTGGGCATAAACTGATGTCACTGCAGTGCCTCTGACCAGGAGGTCCTAGGACTAGTCCTGACAGTGGCAGAATTTTTGACACTAGCTAGAACGAATTCAGCTGCTCCATGGAGGAGAATTCTAGTGGCCGACTGCTCCGATTGGTAGTTTTCCATGGTTTCTCCAATCAACACCAGGCAAATCCTGGAGCAGTATCCTAACAAATGGGGAATGGACCATGTGTGGTTTTCCCTTCGCCTTTGTTGTCCTATCCGCACCCCTTACGTTCACAGTTACATTTAAATGAACTACAGCACCACACATAATGGGAAACCAGCTTGTCATGGCCAGGTGATGGTGGTTTGGGGGACACCGTGCAAGCTGACAAGTAGGTCTGCATCGGATTTCACCATCCAGTGGGAGAAAATCATTGCCACCTCCTGCGATAAAATATATGCACAATGCTTACAGGACTAATGGTTGTTGGGGCACCTGGAATCGCTAATCAGTTAATTAACTTATAATTTTAAGAAACTTTATATTATGTGGTTAATTGTTAATATTTGTCCTAGAAATTTTTCTAAGATTTTTTTGTTGAAGAAGAAAAAAAATCATCACTCTCTCAATCTGTTTACATGGGGAAAAGAAAGAAATAACATTACTTACGTTAATATAAATAAGATGGCCCCCCTAATTTTGAAGTACCTCCAGAGATTTTTGTTTCCTTTCTAATTTATTCTTACTACTCACTGTTAAAATGAAATTATCTTATGATATATAAAAGATGTTGTCTGGACATCTTTTATTTATCATAATAATAGAAGGTATCTACCTCACCACCAATCTAATTAATGAAATTATCTTATTGACAATAAATATTGTGTTGTTCATGAGAAAATTAAATCTTGTTTGAGTTAGCATTATTTTCTTATGTAATTGTCATTACATCATCTTCACACATATCATTTCTGTCTGGTCCTCCTCCCATAGTCAGTAGTCCTCTGACTCGTGAGTTCCATCTAATAGTTTTCTGGATTCCTTCCTTTTGTCACCAAATTTTCTTCCATGTTCTTGAAATTTGATCTGCACATTATTGAGCCTCTGTTTCACAGATTGTACCAGAGCATCTTCATTTAGGGACTTTTTGTCAAGAAAATAACTTCCTATCATTCTGTTCAATGGGTTGATGTAGAACATATGCTTCTATCAAGATCAATTCACTTCAGTTTCTTGCAAAAGAAATGATTTCTACTATTTGGACATTGAACAAAGAGTGTAACAAAATCTTGTTGCATGATTTTTATTTATATATTGCTATTCATTTGAGATGTTCCCTGAAGTGTCCGGTTCAAAAATGTTGATCCCAGTTGCTTGGTAAATCTGCAGTGTTTGCCAAGTTTTGTCTTCGAATTTACCCGAATATTAGTCGACCTTGAATATAAGACAACCCCCAATTTTGAAGTGACTTCCTGAGAATTTTTTATTTTTAACTAATTGTAACTAATCACAATTACAGTAGAAACACAAGTGAGATATTATGTCTTGAAATATCTAAGTTTTGTCTGTTCAATTGCTGTTTTCTTTTTCATCATCAGAATCAGCAATCTCATCAACACTGTCACTACTTAGTTCATCTTCACTTGTATTATTTTTTCTTCCTGGTCCTCCCACAGTAAGTCATCTTCTGAGCCATCAAGCGCATTGTATATGGAGCACTTTTTGAAACCCTCCACTATAGATTTACTGGAGATCGTATTCCATGCAGTAGCTATCCATTCTCCCAGCTTGTATTACTGAGGGCTTCTTTAATTTCCCTCTGGGAGTGAGGGCATGGTTTCCATGAAGAAGCCAGTTTTGTCTGAAGTCTGAGATGATCTTTGAATGGTTTTTGTACAACATTCATTGCTTGAACTTGAGATGTCATCCCACCAAGAATTATTTCTAGATATGTGCTACTTTTTTTAATATCAGTTCTTTAACTTCTTGCATGAGGTGTCCCTTGAATGAATCTAGCACCAGCATTCCTCTCTTTTTCAATAAATAGTCTGGTGTTGTATTCCAAACAACCTTCAACCAATCAAGCATCAGATCATAAGTCATCCACCCTTTCTCTTGACATCTGAAAAGAAGCCCTTTTGGGAGTTTCTCTTTTGGCATTCTTTTCCTGAGAAAAATGACATACGGAGGCAGCTTCCTGCCATTAGCATAACTAGGTGCAGATCCACGGGGAGGAAAATGTTGCCCCCACCCTCCCCAAAAATATTTCAGTACCTGTTAATTTTAACTTGTCACAAAACTTTCATGCTCAAATATTTTCAGATAATCATTAAAACAAATCAAATTTTATTGCCACATGAGCTGAGTGAAGGCTGCGACGTTTTACAATATATGTAATATGACACATTCGAGCAAAACATTTTTAATATCTCTTCCCAAAATTTGTCACTGGATCCACCCTTGGCATAACTGTTATTTTGGCCTTATCATTGCCTGTGCTTCTGTTGATAGCACTTGTAGGGCCCTAGGTTTCAACTGTTACTTTTGACAGCAATTCAGAAGTAAGTCAGCATTACCGAGTTGACTGAGCAGATAGTTCTTTCCATAATTTGAGAATATGATGTTGGAAACCAATTAATTTTTCTTCAAAAGCTACTGGAAGTCGCAGAGCTAGCGTTGTTCTCCACCGTAATGTTAGACCAGTTCTTTTCATCATTCTTACATACCAGCCCATACTCGCTTTGAAATTTTTTCTATCTTGTAGAAGATTTTTCTTTATTTCAAGTGCCTTCATTCATATAATTTCTCGAGAGTTTGGGAAACCTTCATTGCGTTTCTCTTGCAATTGAAATTCACAGTGTTATTAAGTTCATATGATTGAGTTGTGATCTGTAAATTTGTTCATCTTCGTACTTTCTATCCACAGATAACATAGAAGAATGCAAAAAAGTTTCCAGAATTTGTGAAACTTTTTAAAATTATTCAGTCTCTGTTGTTAAACATAGAGTACAAATGAAGGTGATTTTTTTTCCATTTCCCATACAAAATGCAGATTTGAACTTGTCAATCATTGAATTTAGAATCCTTGTGACCATGTTCATAGTGTAACAAAATCTCAGCAATGATTTTCATTCATTTTGGCATTATGGTTGATGTACTAAAATGCCACATGTTTCACATTCTCTTTTTATGAGCTCATTCAACTATATTGATATGAATCACCCAGCAAATTTATGGCAGATGCCAAAAGTATGTATGTGAATGTTACATTTTATAGATGCAAATTGTTTTTATCGGATGTATTGTTTCATCAGCATTCGACTTTCTTGACATTGAAAGGCAAAGTAAAAACATAGATCCAAACCAACTGTGCTTCATTTGCAATTATAAGATGGCCCTGTGCTTTTTGAATGAATTGTTTAGGAAAAAGTCTCATTTTTTTATTTGTTTATTTATTGTTGATTGTTATCTGCTAATGTCAGGACTCACTTGTAGTACATTTCAGAAATTATAATAGCACAATTAATATATAAACAAATGCTTAATTAAGTATTTATATAAGTAATTATGATACAGTACAAATTAAAATCGCAGTGTAATATTTAATAATACAATTCAGAAATAGTGTATAAGTCTAAATGAAAGTGAACTGTTGTATATCTGCAACATTTCTGCATTAAGTATTGGCCAACTGTCAACCATATACACGTCAGAGCAGTCAAAGTATTAATAAAATATGCTTTTAGTTACAGATGTTTTAAAAAGTTTTAAAAATAATTTCATATGTTGAAAATTTCTGTTCATTTCTCATTTTCGAGTGTAATGTATAAAAAATTATCTGTTAAGAACTAAAATTAAATAATTAAAAAAATGACAAAAAATGTGTAATCACTGCTCTTCTTGTTGAATGTTCTTGTCGGATTTTATTCATGTTTCAAAAACATGCTATTTCTATGAGTAATATCACGAACTTCTTTGTTACCATGAATTCTTAATTTCAGACTTCGGCTTTGCGAACTTGTCATAGTACTTAATATTGTTATTCTCACATTCACAAATACTTGATTCCTAAACTTTCATATCAATGGCACAGTAACATAGAAAATAACTCAGAAAAATTAGTACTAAGCTCTATAAAATACATATCGTTATTAAACAAACTAAAGAAATTCACTTACTATTATCACATATTTTAAGGAAATTTTTTGGTTAGTTGGAGTTATGTCTTAATTACCACATCTTTTTGAAGGGTTGGAAAATAAAATAAATCTTCAAAAACATATTATTTTTAATTCATATACCTAATTCATTGACGGAATAACTTTTTCCTTTTAAAATATGTATGTTTAAATACTGTCAGTCTTATGAATCATGACCTAATTTCATGTTATGGTGTTAAGGCAATAATTATAGTAATTCACACCATTTCACCCCTAGGTGCCTTGAAACACTTAAAAAAAACATTTTTCTAGATTGATTTTTACATAATGTACTAAAAGGATCTGTCTAAAAGCAATGTCAATCCATTTGCCTCATTGAGAGGAATCAAATGAGTCATTGATCACCACTGCCTCTGTAGATGCTGAAAGTTACTCAAAACTTGGTTTAGTTACCTAAAAAAACAAAATAGCACGTTTTTGAAGAAACTGTTTGAAATCTGCTGGATGGTTCTGCTAAGAAATAGTCAGTGACTCACAAGGAGACTGAGACATGCCAAATGACGTATTGTTTGACTTAATTGGTCAACAGGAAGGGGTCTAACCATGAGTGATGGATGTCAAGGACAGTTGCAGGTTACTGGAATACTATATAAAGTAAGAAATGTAGTCTTACTATAGCCAGGTGCTGCTCTATTTTATTAGTATGTGCTGCTAGCAGGTTCAGAATGGGCGTATTTTATTTTTTATATACTAAATATTTGTATTATTACCCGCTTAATTACCTTATTTACTCAATTTTGAGATTAGTATTTTTCCAATCCTAGAGATGGAATAAAACAAATCTAAGCAAAAAATCCCCAAACTTTGATAACAAAGATCTCTTATGCATCACCCACAATGTGGAGATGTAAGGATTCACAATTCACAAGTGGATCGTGTTAATTTGTAGTTAATGGATGTTGAAGACTTCATGAAAATGTGTGTGACACAAATAAGATCTGGTAACACAGAAGGGAACATTCTGAGGTGGCATTAGATGAGTCTAAGAATGCAAATTCAACATTCAAAACTAGGGGGAGGGGCTAAAAAAAGGTCAAAACGATGACCTAGTATTGGAGAATCAGAAAGAAATTATACAAGTGAAGATAAAAACAGCAGTGACAAAACCAATAATGATCTTTAAGAAATAAGGCTCAGGCAAAAAGTGTTATCATTCTCATCAAAACTATTTTCTAATAAGTATTGCAATTTGTGGTTTTATTTTGATTCAGTAGTAAGAATTTGTTAAAAATTGAAATATTATTAGGAACCTCTTCAAAATAAGACATCTCATCTTATATTCAGGTAAATAGGATATATGGTGAGAGTATTAAAAAAACAATGACATTTCAATTAGTTGTCCATATCGTGATTGAAGAAAAGTAGGTACTGAGAACACTCCTGCAATGTATCATAAATGAAAAAATCTAAAATTTTCTGCTTAACCGTTGCCAGAGAAGAATCAGAGAATTAAGTCATCAGATTGAGTTCTATTTTTACTTTCTCACTAGCTGCTTATGCAGTATAGAGAAAGTATTGTAATGCTGTGGGGGAAAAAAACTGTTTTTTCCACAGAAAAACTTACTGCCATGCCCTGTTAACAAAATAGTGTATGAATTTGGTACCTTTATGTAGTAAATTATTTTCTATAATATGTGTAGTCAGAATCTATGTTTTGTGGGTCCTTGATACTGAAAAATTAATTAATGGCAAAATCTGCAAGCCACATTAACAGCTAATCTGTAAGTAGGATTTTCACCAGAATTGATATTCCCTGATTGATGTGACTCAAATCGCAGCCTCTAGAATTTCAAAAGGATATTTTGATTTTGGGGAGTACTTTATAGAAAATCTCAACAATGTTTTCAAAATTTTCTTAAAAATGCCTCCATATTTTTTCTTTAATTTTTTTCTCTGATTGTGCCAAACATGCTTACAGAAATGGTGCAGGTAACATGTCCTATGAACTTCCAAAATTTTCAAAAATTACAAAAGTTCACAATTTTCTTGGCATCTTCCTACAACTACAATAGTGAAGATAGAATTTTTTCCTTAATGAAATCTATTCATCCAAAACATATCTTCAAGTAAGGTTAGGTCCATTTCTTTCAAAAATAAGAGTGGTTTTTGTGTGAAACTAGCAACTTTTAAACAATTATTTTTTCAAAAACAGCTCCAATTTTTTTTCTTTAAATTTTGTTCTTAAATGTAGCGAAGAACAGTAAAGAAAACTGCTAGTCCCATTTTCTGCAATTTTTTTGTACTTTCAAAAATTGCAAAAAAATTAACTTTGCAAAAGTACAATATTGATAGATTTTTTTTTGTTAAATGAAATCTATTCTACAAAATCAGTTGTTTAAAAAAGGTCACGTTCAATTTTAAAAAAATATGAGTAGTTTGGCGTAAATTTAGTGAATTTTCAAAACTTGCAAATACAAATATTCCATGTTTCATATGCTATTCTGAGAGTTCTGTCTCATCCTTGGAAGAGGTTCATGGCATTAGGAAATACAGCTTTAATTATTTATTTTTTTATTTTCTTTTCCCCCCAATGAGTTGACAAGTGATGATTGAGATGTGTTAACAGGGACAGAATTGCAAGATTATAATATTATGTAACCGTTACTGAGGAAGTATCTGCTGTTGGAGAACCTCTAGTTGCTCATTGCAAAAGGAAAGGGGTTTGTATTTTGTCAGCGATACAATAAAATTAAGGATGACTTTTGTCAACTCTTGAATCAACCTTAACCCTTAAGAGGTACAAAAGAATCTGCCCATCTTCAATACTTTGACAATTTTCAGAAAGATGGCATTACTCGGTAACATGGAGTTTTAGAACCAACACCTCTCTTGAAGCTTCTATTTCTTTGTTTGTTATTTTTTTCCGTCTTTAATTTGTGAAGATTTTTTACTTCATACTTTTGCAAGAGAATAATCATAGCTCAATGCTCATCTTAACTTGTTCCTCTCCTTTCAGTATTCAGTTCCCTTATGTATTGTTTAATGTTTAATACACAATTTCAATAGACAAATTTAAATGTGTTCTTTCTTGTACTTTCAAACATTCACAGTTTTAAAGAATTTGTAATAAAGGTTGCACAAAATGTCATTGGACCAGTGACATTACATAAAGACACCAGACCAATTCTGGAAGTGAAGTGGTTGCATGATTTTAAGTGGACAAAAGTGATGAATGTTCAACATATTCCTTTACATTAGGAATTGTCACAGGAAAGTTTGTAGCGACTTTCACGTTGCAAGGAAAGAGAAGGAATATCATACATTTTTAGATTTTTGCTGGACACTGTGACTTGATTGTGTAATGGAAGAAAGTGTGAAAATAATTTCATATTTGGAGGACAGTGAATTTAAATAATATTGTGAGGAGTGCTTATTAAGGATTTTGTGTTGTTTCAATGAATGTATTTTGTGAAATTTTTTTATGTTAATATTTTAATGGAAATAATATAATTTCAGAAAGTGCTTTGACTGGAGAACTGAAGATTTGTCGAATAGACAAACATGTAAGCACCTGTATGGGTGGAGAAGAAGTGTTCATTCTTGTGGAAAAAGTTGGAAAAAGTATGTTGTCTTCATATTTTATCTCATGACTCAAATGCAATTGACTAAGAAGAATCTGTAGTACAAAGAGAAAATGTGTAATGTAAGGAAAATTTTAATATTTCAGAAAACATAAAGATAAAATTTTTTGAAGTTAATGAAGATGATCAAGAAATTTGGTGTGATTATGGGAAATTTTCTGAATTAGATGTGCACCATCAATACGCTATTGTATTTCGAACTCCACCATATCGAGATCTTGACATTGAAAAACCTGTTGATGTTTTTCTTCAACTATATAGACCTACAGATGGAGACTGTAGTGAGCCTATCAAATTTCAGTACAAACCATCAGAAAAGATGGGTATGTGTTGGTCAATTTCAAAAAATTGTTGTTATTATTGAAGTAAATTGTGTGTTAAATTTTCATTATAATCAATTATTTGAAAGTCATTTATTCAGGATGATAACCATTTATAAATTAATTTATTGTTATGATAATTAGTAGATTAATTATCATACCAGTTAATAAAGTATTAACTATTTGTTCTTGATTTATAATAATGATTGGCAAAGATATTTGTTCATTAATTTAATGATTATGAATTGTTTATTTGCAGGGAGAACTAGAAAAAGGCCAAGAGTATCTAATGAAAATTTGCATTCTTCTGAGAATATCAATTTCTTGAATGTTACAAATGGGACTACAAATGGAATGATGGAGATAGGAAGCGACGTGAAAAATGGAAATGATAACTTGTTAGGGGAACACACCTCATTAAGCGAATTATTAAATGAGGAAAATGGTCTGGATTCTTCAGAATTTCGAGAATTTATGAACAATCTTTCCATATCAGGTTTGTTGTATGCATGTGAAAATAAGATTTGCTTTGATTATTTGATGTAAAGTTCTGCATTTTATAAACTGGTTACTAAATTATTTTTCTGGTCTCTGACTATGTTGATTTAATACTTTAGTTGAGCCTATCCTCATATTCACAGGATTTAATAAGTTTATGGTGGTGCTTGGTATTTTGAATTATAATAATTCCTTTGAACAAAAGCAGAGGATTGTTCTGTATATTCAGTTTAAAGGTTAGGTGCGGTAGAACTTCTGGTGATTTGACATTAGATTTATGAGTGAATATTTTCTGTTTGTGTAGACTTAAACCTGCCCCAAACACTGTCTGCATATGGTGGGTCAGTAGGCACAGATATTTTGAAACCAGTAAACCAGAAATACAATATGGAACCTGCATGCACTGGTGCATTCATGTTGAATACTTCTGATATTCCTTTTGGTGGAACCTTGAAGACAGAAGGAATTGTTGATAGTGGTAAAACCTAAATCTTTGTAATTATGAGGTGGTTTGGAGGTACTCTGTACTATCTTTCACTTCTTTTTCTTCTGCTAAACACAAAATCTAGAGCTTTTTTTCTGGCATTGTTTGTTTCCAAGTTTAAGAGCTTTTAATTTTTCATTTGAGGAAGTTAAAAACTGTAAATATAATGAGGTTGATATTTTTACTGTCATTATTACAATGCTCTTGCAAGTCATGGAGTACTGGAAGCACAAATTAAAATTTTTTCAAGAATGTTGTGTACAGAACCATCCTCGTGCTTCCTTAAAACAAATTTCCCTCTTGTTTGTTACAAACTTTTTAAAGTAAATTTTAATTTTTAGGAATTATATTTCGCACCATCATTTGTTGTGAGGGTATCCATTTTATTAGAAAAAATTATCACTTGTGCTAACAAAAAAAGTGCTGAGTGAATAATGGAATAGAGTTATGATTAGTTTATCCTTTCAAGTAATAGACATTTCTGCTCCTGATTACTTCTCATTTTCTTATTCCATTAAAACTCTGAAGTGTTGCACTTTGCAAATAGTGAGTGTGTGACAACTTTGGTGTGATGAAAGTAATTACCCACTTCAAGGAAGCAGCACTTTCGTTTGTTAATACAAATTCTCCATTAGTAAAGCATAAAAAATAGTTAAATTGCGCACTATTCTACAAATAGTTTGGCTTATTTCCTTTTTCCTACTAATTTTTTTTGTTATACTTATGTTTAATTGTAAGAATCTTCTCAGTATGTCTGCAAATTAAGCATGTTCCTTATATTTTTTCTCTTGTAGAATACATGAGCACATTTGATCACGATTTGGCTTTTGATGGAGAAAAGTCACCGTTACGTAAGTCTTATTTTTATTTATTTAATACCTACTACAATAGACTCGTGATTATCCGAGGTAATTAAGACTGAGACTGCCAAGAACAAAAAATTTTGGGCATTCTGGACTTAATTTTGGTAAAGGATTGTAATAATCATATTTGTTTCCAATTCAATGTACTAAAAAAGATAATGCGCTCCTAAGAATACAAATTGTATAATAGCACGTAAATTAATGAGTGTTTATTTCTGTTAGAAAAAAACTAACTATTGACAATGTCAAATGACATACTCAATTTTTGCTAAGCAAATCTAATTAATCATATCTCAAGAAATCTCAATATTTCGAAAATCAGGGACGACATTGCCCTGCACACATGCCTGCTTGCTACTATGCTGTAGCAACTTATTTATTCCCCGTCTGTGTCCTATTCTTCAAGGCAGCTTTTTCTTTTGACTACCTCGAACAACCACTTCTCAGATAATTACTTCTTGTTTTGAAATAGTTGTTACAACCGTTCCTTTGTATGTTATGGAAAGAGATTTTACTTATTATGTTATGGAGAGGATTTATGAATAGGAAGATGCAAAATAAAATGGTGAACATATTTTGTATATAGCTCAACTTATTTTTTCAAGTAGTGAGGCTATCTCCATTTGTCACCATCCAGCCCAAAACAAGTGGATTTAAACCAAGACACCTGCGTTTGAGTTTTGGTTAGGGTGACAATTCTTTGAGCAATTTGATACTATCTCCATAGTTTTTTTTTTATTTGTGGATATAAGAATTCGTAAAAGATGCTTTCTAAATTCTAAATAAAAAATCAAAACTTATGAATGCATTGGAAATTCTACTGGAGATTACTTTTCTTCTTGCAAAAGATGAAATGAAAGAGGGAATCCTGTATTATATTATCTTATTTTCACTCGCGGAGTATTGGAGTGATTAACTGAAAGTTAAGAACAGTTTTGTTGATAATAAATTCTAAATAAGAAAGACAGAAGTAGTTGTATTATCATTGTGGATTATTATAACAAAGTATTTTTTGACATCTTTGCATTCATCCTCTCTAATAATTTGCATTTATTGCTGGCAGAAAATAACATTCTGTCTTTCTTATTTTAATTTTTTTTAAGGGTTTATAATCTCTTCACCAAATTTTTCATGATAAATCTTGGTAAAAAAGAATACGAGTTGATTGTTCAACTAGTATTCCCAGTTGACTTAATGTGAAACTTCATTTATATATCGTTCAGGGGACTAAAGGGGCGAAATGTGTAAGTGAGAAAAACGTTTGACTGAAATTGGGGAAAATATAGGTAATAACATAAAAATGCAGTGGTTTGAAGAAATTCTCAGAGAATTTCATTCTCAAGAAAGAAAGTTCACGCTTTCAAAAATAATCTAATATTATGCCCTTTGCTTTTCTCTGCAGTTAAAGTATAAATTTCCCCCTTTAAATGTTTACTGTGAATTGTTGGCAAACATTAAGCAAAGCTTTAGAAACCAGGGCACTAGAAACATGGGCACTAGCTTCATTTTCCTGGCACACTGTGGTTTTGTTTACTGCCTTAACAGTTCTCATCAGATTCCAATGGAAGGTTGATAGGTCTTAGGTACCAACAAAACTAAATGTGAACACTGAACCAAACATAGATTTCTTGGGCTCTTCTAGGATGATGTAATAGTTTTCGCATATCAGACATCAAGGCCGGAATTTACAGTTAGGACTGTTATTACGGACATAAAGAAACAAATAATTGTAAAATGCATATTTAAAGTAATTTAACAAGGATTTTAGCTCTGACTTATAAACAACAATGCAAAGGTGTGAAAAACATGTGAGAGCAAAAGTTATAAATGGAGTTTCAATATATATAATTGCTCTGTTGACCATCTTATCTTGTTATGCTAGCCTAACCCAGATCTGTTGATAATAAGTTCTATAAACATTGCAGCAAAAGACGCTGTGACTGAAATCAGAATAAAGGAAGAAAATGATCCACCAGAGGTTAAAGAAGAAATTTTGGTGAGAAACATTTTTTTAAAACTAGTTTTAAGTGTAATTAATCCACAAAGAGTTGCTGTTTAGGAATCTATCTGTTGTTGGTGAAGAATCTATATCGATTATAAAGTATAATGATATTTTATAACCTAGACCTCTTTTTTTCTTTCATGTGTTATTTTAGGATGCTGTGGATCTTGTTGAAAATAAGTCAAATATAGTGTAATGCGACTTGGGTTGAATCTGTGAAGTATTTGTTGGTTTCTGTTTTGGCAGTCAATGGAACTTGGATAATTTTGTTTTTTGCCTTGCTATCTGATATTTTTCTTTCTTTAATGCCTCATTAATTCCGCTTGCTTACTTTAATATGAGAGTATAGATGTTTTGCCAGTAAGAGTGAAAAGAAACAGCGCAGCTCACAGACTGAAACTGAGGTGAAGTGTTATCCACAATATGAATATCACTCCATAAACTTTTAGATAAATACTAGTTATGATTTAAAAAAATTTTAATCATAACGTTATTAAAAAATTATAATCGAAACGTTAGCCACCATGTCAGTGACGCGGCTCGTCTCGGATAGCCTAGATGGAGGACCTAAAATCAGTGAAATATGCATCAAAAACCTGACAATGTGCACAAGAAATGAGGATGCATTATTAATAAATTACTTCAAATATACCTATTCTGGGTTTACTCAGAGCTGTGTTTAAAGTAAATCTTCTGTTGACGGTTTCATCCAGTCAGGAGCTTAATTGTCACCATAGTGATGTCACTGAAGTGACATCATCTTCATGTGCTGCATAATTTGGAATTTCTTATAACAAGAAACCTATAATTTGTGTAAAACATAAAAATAAGTCTGCTCTTTTTATTTGAAAAAATTTAAAACACGTTTCATTGAAAATTCATTCCCCTGAATTTATTTACATTTTACTTATATGTTTGTTATATGCTTGACATAAAACAACTTTTCCGTCAGTTGGCAGATTGGCTTACTCTTGAATCCATTTTCCAAGCAAAACGCATCTGGCAAACGATTTGTTCTTCGCTGCCATGGTGAAACTCCCTACTGAAACTGCCAGCACTACTCTAAATACTGTGATTTGAATGCGATGAAATAAATTGACTATTAATTTTCGTTCTTTCAGCGAAGCTATTTCTTCATATTAATTGCAATGCACGCCATCCTCCTGGTAAACTGATCACAGCATAGCGGATAGTGTTTATTCAGATGAAGCAGATATCAGCTTTTATAATCTAAGTTGACAAGCTTACACTGAGCAAAGCTATTTCTTAGAGTTACTGTCCGTGCCCGACGTCCCACATTGTTAGTGATACTCTCACAAGGGATTGAAAAAACTGCTTACTTTAGAAATCAGCTGCTGAAGATATATAAATAAAGGGACAGTCTTGAGAGGGTCAGTAATATATAAATATGCATAAATATGCACCTATTGCCAATATATGCAAAATTATGCACTATAAAACTTCATATATTCCTTTCGTGTGGTCTGAATCATATTTTCGTGCATAAAGCATATCATTTCGCTGCAAGGAAGAAAATATGCAATATGGTAATCTGCTCTCTACTAATAAGAATTGAAAGATGAGAACATCATTACAGATGCCACTATGAGTGGTCAATCAAATTGTTTATTTCAGGAACCCATCAAATGCCAAAATCTAAAGATCACATTAGCAGCAGATTATTCTTCCAAGAGGATAGACAAATCGTATAGAGCATATTTATTTAAAAAATATTCATTTATCAATTGCTTTAATAAATAAAAATATTTTGATATGTATCTTCATTTATCTTTATCTTCATTTATTATTTCAAACATTGGTAGGTGTCCAATTCATAAGATAAAATTTATTTCAGTGTACAAATGTTCTACAGTAGCCCAACAGGTATTTCTCTAGTTCCTTGCATATTGTAGAATTTATGAATAAGTTAAATGAATGCAAGTATCGTCTTTGGAGTATAGAAAATAATTTCTATTAGAACATTACATTGAGTCACTTGTGATAATTGTTTTAATACTTCAACTTGATTTTATTTGATGTCTAGTGGTATTGAAGACTGATTGCCTCTTACTTTTTTAGAATGCCTTCTATACCTTATTATACGTCCAGTACACATTACGTGGTTTTGTTGAGAAAATAAAGTATCTCATTTGTCCTTTTTTCTTTTTTTCAAAAATAGTCTTTATTATAAATTGAGGACAATTATTAGGAAATTGAAATTGAATTTTGATGTGAAATGTTGAGTTCAATCCTCTTTTCCTTATATGAAGGAATCATCACTTTGTAAATATTTTAAAATTTTGTGTGTAAGAAATGTTCATTGTTTTGTTTCTTTTTTAATTGCTTTTTATTTAATAAAGTACTTTTTTCCTGCATTAGGGTGATTACGAATTGCTGCAGAAGGCACTAAAGCAAATAAATATGGTTTTGCAAGAAAAATTGTCCTCAGATGTCACAGCTAAAAAAATTGAAAATATATTTAATATGAGAAATACGGAAGGTGAAACGTAAGTCCAGTATATTAATATCATTAGTTTTTAGTATCATTAGTATTATTAGTAGCAGGTTTAATTAGTAGTTAGTTGATTTGTCTTGTTAATTAATAATGTGCTGAGTTGCAATTGTATTTGCTTGATCAGTCAGGTTGTTTTTTAATTTTATTACAGTCCTAAAATAAATTGTTTTTAACCAACTGAATGATTCGAAAGTATTGTAATGTTATTAGAAATAAAAGTTAGTGTACAGTAAGAACAATTTTAATCAGAAAAAAAAATGTAAAGAAAGGGATTTTTGTTCATTATATTTTAGTTAACTAGTCAATTACTATTTAATAAATCCAATCCTCAGTGATTTTAATTGCAATAGAATTACTACCAACAGTTGACCATTGTGTGTACATGTATGTACTTGTATACTACTTACATTATCTTTAAAAATATTTCTGTTATATGTATCAATTGAATTGTAAATTGATTGGCAGTAATTGCCAAAAGGTAAAAGTAAAATTAATATTAAGAAGTCTTATTCATTGATCTTATTGTAATCATTTAATAACATGTTTCAAGGAAAACATTTTAAACAATGCAAAGTGTGTATCTCAATTATAAATTTTGTTTCAGAGCTCTTCATGCTGGTGTCATGTGTGGAGAAAAGGATGCAATGAAGCTTATGTTGCAAGTTCTTGAAAAAGGAGGACAAAAACATCTTATTAATACTCAGAATTTTAGAAATGAGGTAAGGTTTTTGATAGAGGATATTGGTATTTTCTTAAAATACAATAAAGTGTTTTGAAATTGACGGTTGTGAGTATTGATTTTCAGACTCCATTGCATTTGGCTGTTCTTCACAAACAACCCCAATTTGTCCAAATGTTGCTTGCCAAAGGCGCAGACCCAAATTTTACGAACTCTGATGGAAATACAGCCATTCACCTTACAATCAAGTGCTGTCACAATGAGTGCCTGACTGAATTATTAGATAAAAACAACTACGTTCATAATGAACACAAACCTAAATGTAATGAAAAGAACTACGAAGGTGAGTAATAATGGAGAGTATTCAGCTCATTCAGTTTTTGGAAAGGATTTCCAAAATTAGTCATAAGATATTTTTAAGGTACATTATTTAGTCTTAAGGTATTTTTATGATAAAGAAAACTCTTTTTATTTGAATTCAAAATCGATATAAAAGATTGTGCAAGATGTCAGCTCATGGCAACAGAATTGCTTGTAAATATGATGTGAACATGTTATGTTACACAAGTGGATTTAATTAAAATTAACTAGTGAATTTACTTAAATCATTCATGTCAAGTTGTTTTAAATAATCTTAAAATAATTAATTTAGAATGTGTTTTTCATCTCTCTAAACCAAATTTATTGGTAGCAACTCATTTCCCAACTTGGTATAACTAAATGATAGATACTTTCGTACACAATTTAATTTCAATAGATACTTTTCTTTTTGGAAAAATGTTAGTTCTTAGTTCACTATTTCAACCTTCAATGTGTTTGCCACTTAAACAATACTAACCATAAGTTGTGTCTGCACTTAACAAAATCTCTTTGTTTCACTGGTCCTGTGGAGTTGTCATCAGATGCTTTTATCTTATTGTTTTAAATTTCTAATATATGGGTGATCCTATTTTTATTATATTTTATTGATTGAGTGGGCACTGCAGAATGTATGATTGGCATTTTTACAATGCTGTTTTGTAGATAATGGCATAATGAAGTTAATAGTGGCTGGCAATTATGTGTAAATCTACACATGCATATGACTGTGCTTGTGTGTATGTGTAGGAAAGAGAGAGGAATGCATTATTGACATAGATATGAAAATATATTGTTGTTGGTGGTTTTTATTTATTTATTTTTTATTTGTAGGTCAGACACCATTGCATGTAGCTGCTGTGAAAAGAAATTTATTTGCTGTCAAATCCTTGGTGAAAAGTGGTGCCAATGTAAATGAAGCCGATTCCACTTTAGGCCGTCACGTTTTAATGGTAGCTGTAGAACAAAGTGATAAAGATATTGTGGAGTATCTTGTTAAAGAGGTATGACAATAGTTACTTATTGCAAATGGTACTTGTTGAATTTAAAATATAGTTCATTTAATAAAAATGCTGACATTTCTACAGACAAATGTTGATGTAAATTTGGAAAATTATGCCGGAGACACCTCATTACACTATGCTTGTGTAGTTAATGGAGGAAATGCAGAAATATGCCAATTGTTGATTGATGCTAAGGTTGGTATCTTGATTTGTAAAAAATATATGATTAAATAGTTTGGTATTCAAGTATCGAAATAAATGAAGTTTATATTTTTAACAATTTAATTTTAAAAGAAGGGCTTCCAAATTAAAAATCAAATTGTTTTTACTTGCCTTTTCATACATTAGATATCATTTTATATGGTAATTTATATGCTTAAATGAGATCGTGTGGTTACACAGTGCTCACATGTCTTATCAGGGTCTAGATACCGAAAGAGTATTTTCCATTATAAATTGATGTTTCTACTATTAATGATCAAGTCATTCATCAATTGAATCATTTATTTCAGAAACCCGTCAAACACCAAATTCCTCATTTTGAGAAAACTAAGAATAAGTCTCCCGATTTTTCTAATTTCAAAATATGTTTTTTATAAAAGAAGATTAACGAATATTTTTCATATAAATATGCTCTAAATTATGTGTCTATCCTCCTAGAACAATAATCCGTTGCTAAAGCATGTTTTAGATTTTGGAGTTTGACGGGTTTCAGAAATAACCGAATCAATTGTACAAGGAGGAGATATTATCTCTAGAAATAGAAACTCAACTTAGGATGCAAGTATGATAGAAATTTGTTTCAAGAACAGTATTTCAGTCAAGTATTTACAAGCAATGATTGCTATTATATTGCACATAATCATGCAAAACTGCAACTTATATGTATAAAACATCATAAATTGAGAGATACAACCCACAAATATTTAAATCATCTCTTCCCATATACAATAGAACTCTGTTAAGATAATTTAACTTAAAAGAGACTGTAGACCTGAGTCCCAGTTTTTTAAATATGGGTGTTTTCTCTATGTACAAGATCTGCTTGTAAGAATTTCCTGCCTGCAATAGAAGAAGCAAAACTTTGAAATTGCCAAAAAAGGATTTTTAAGTTTTAATGGAAAAAAGTAGTCAAGCTCTAGTGTTTTTAACCAGCTATGCTCCATTGCTTCAAAGTTGTATTGCATGTGTTTTTGAGCATAAAGCATGCTTACTAATGTATTTTCTTTTTAATACTTTATGTATACAATTTATTTTGAATACAGGCTGATCCAATGAAAGCCAATCATGAACAACGAAGTAGGGCTATGGAACTTCCACTGGCAAAGCCACTTGAAGTGACAGTAAAAGAAGAGATTGAAAGCGAAGATGAATTTCAGTTGCACATAGATGATGACGATGAAGATGATGAAGACGATGAGGATGATGAAGAAGAAAATGGTTTATCCAAGGGTTGTACATCAATGGATTTGGCAAAAGACAACCAAGAAGTAAGTATTTCAGAGTAGTAGTTATCTACAATCATGGTAAAACCATATAGATGTAATGCTAATTTAACTTTCAAATGGAGAGGAAGTGGCGAAGAAAGAAAGAAAGAAAGTAAATTTAGAGCAGTTGGTCTATATCACATTTTAATTTCTTAATGAGGTAAAGGATTTTTAATACAATTTAATATAATTGAAAAAAATAAGTGCGTACAGTAACAAGTTATTATGTTGCAATATGGTTATTCATTTGCATTATGTGCTAATGTCATTTATTCATTGTACTGTTTTATTTTCTCTCATGATTATTTAGTTTTGTAATGTATACTGGTATAATATTATTGTACTCTCCACTTGCTTAGATCCTGAATATATTGAAGCAGGCTGATCAGTATATGGCATCAACCCTTCAAAATGAATCCCTGGATGAAGTCCAAATTAAAGACGAATGTCCAAGTCCATCTGAACACTCCACAGTAGTAGGTACGTGATGAGATTTTTCAAGTGCCCTTAGATTTTTGTACTTTTTTACACACAGTGGTGTAAGGATGCAACAATTCAAAAGATTTGATCTTCTGAGTTTCTTGTGAAGTGATCAATAAGGTTATTTCTTGTGGACTAAATGGTTATGTGCATTATTCTACCAGCAAAACTTGAGTTAAGGAATGTTCTTACTGTCCACGTCAGCAGCTCAAGTGTACATGCAAAACTTTTCTAGGTTTGTTTAAGAGATGCTGGAAATGTTATTGCCAATTATAATGGTCATTCGATACGAAAAAAGCAGAAATTTATCCCAACCTCTTCAATGGCATTGACGTTCAGCATATCCACTAATTTTCATCTGAAACTAGAAAATCAGTGATAAGAATTATATGTCAGTCTCTGTTTCTTTTCATTATATGAAATATTCAGAGGCAAAGATATCTCTTCACATTAGGTGAATTTTGAACTGTTAAAGAAACAGCCCATTAACAAGTGTGGAACAGATGGAAAATCTGGTGACTCGGAAAAGAATGTTCTTAGATTGCATGTGATGAAAGTCTTTTAAGTTTTGCACAAGTTCAATCCACAAAACTTTCAGAGGAGCCTAAGAAGATGTCTCAGCATGGAAGGAAAATTAGAAAGAATGAAACATTGATACATGCGAAGATGAGGGTATTGACTTAAACAAGGATTATGACGAGTTGAAGGAACAATTCAACAATAAGTCTTAACATTATTTCAAAATTTTTCGCAATTTTCTAGTCAATAAGACAATTTGTATTTTTGTTTTAACTAAATAGTAAACATTAGTTAAAAATTCTCAGGAGGTCTCTTCAAATTTCAGGCCATCTCGTTTTGGAAATCAAAGTATATTTGGGTAAATACAATAAACACATGGCCATTTTTATAGAGCTGTCTTTAAAGAACAGATTTTGTTAATAAAATAATCTCTATCATCAGTCATAGTTTTAGATAGATGCCAAAAAAATGAACTTTTACAATTTTCCAAAATTTAGTGAGTTTAATGAATATGTAACCTGCACCATTTGTTAAAGCATCATTTTGTGTTATTTGAGATAAACATTTTACTTAGAGGAATTTGGTAGTTAACTTTCCGGAAATTCTGGAAAAATCAGGGAATTTGTAGAGGAATCATTAAAAGTAAGGGAAAATGTTGATAGGCTTATGGGTATATTACTCCTAAAAACATTAGTAATATTTTTTCCCCCATTTTTTATTTGTTGAGGAAATTGTGTTGAATTGTTCTTGGTCCCCGCCAAATAAGAGAGCTCCCCAATTAGTATCAGGAAAGCTGTAATATTTTCTTTTAGTAGTGTGAAATAACTAATCTTAACTGGAAAAAATGTGTTATGAAACAGTGAAAAGTCAGGGAAATTTGTTCCTGGCAATGAGTGGCCACCTTAAAATTTTCAAAATAATTTTGAATATGTTGTAAGGTTTTGTGTGAAGTACCCTCAAAAATCAAAACTTTTGTTTCAAATTTGCAGTGCTTCGCGTTCTGTTAGATCAATGCAGGAATTTCAATTTTAGAGAATATATCTCAATGGTTTAGGCTCTAGTGTTGCATGCATACACATATACATGGACAGATAGATTATTCATTCATGTTAGCTACATTAGGAGCAATCCCAGACACTTGTTAAAGGTTAAACTGATAAAATTTTTAGTTTTGAAACAAATATATACAGTGTGTGGACAGGCACTTTTCTCGGGGGGGATTTCCAATGTTTTTCCAGCAGAGGACATCAAACACAACAGGGGGAATGATTCTTTGTGTACCCCTATCAACTCACGCCCAGAATATGCCTGTGAACAAATTATTTGGAATCTCTGTATATTAATTGACTTTATAAAACTTCAAAACTTTAGTAGGAGTCTAGGAGTGATAATTTGATATGTAGAGGTAATGATCTTAGCTTTAGCGAGACCTCAGAATATTCTTCCTAGTGAGTCATAGTCCTTGGAACCCATTGTGATGTTGATTGCTCAACTATTTCATTGACTCTAAGAATATAAAAATTTAGTTTACCCGGCCTCTTGCCCAAAAAGCATGCATAAAATCTTCGATTAGAAAAAGGACCAAATCTTCAATCTAAAACAGACTAGGGACTTTGAACTAAATCTTGTTTGCCAATTTGTGAAAGGGAAAAAAACCTGCTTATTGAAGCATTTCTGGTTTCATATTAGATTTCAGCAGTCAGTATATAAAAAAATTACTGTTTGATAAGGAATCAAAAAATCTTATTGCACTAAAGGATATTTCTATAAGATGTTAAGTTGATATTTTAGTAGTAAATATTGTCATAGCTGTATGTTAATCTGTTTTATGATGTGTTTACTTTGTTTTAGATAATGGACTTTTTGATGAACAAACTCTGACAAAACTATGTTCAGTTCTTGATGCATCAAATTCATGGACAAATTTGGCAGATCTCTTGGATTACACATTTTTGGTACCAAGTATTAGGGCTGCCATCAGTCCTTCAAAACTCTTGTTTAATTATGCTGATGTAAGTAGTGTATTTAGAGTTGGATGTAATTATGAATGTAAATAGAGCACGCCTTCAATAATGTTTTCAAGGGACTCAAAGAAAAATAATAGAAATAAAAGAAAGGTAATGTTCATGTGAAAGATACATGTTTAGAAAAGACCCTTGTAGAAACCTTTATCAAGAAAAGAATATGGCAGTAATCTCAAACATTCTAGTTCAATTAATTCAATTCTTATCACCAATTCCCTTCACCACTTTCAAAATATTATGTATCTCCTCAATTGTAGTATACATCTAATTATTTTCTTAATATGAATAACACCAGAAAATGTTTGCATTAACAGAAGCATCACATAAAAATTCATGGGTTTCATTGTATCATTTCCAGATCTTGTAAAAAGTGATTCATTGTCAGAAAGAGGAGGACTTTTTTAATTTATTTTTTTAATAGGATAAATATAGTGAACATTCAATTCTTGCAAACTGTGGTTCCTTGTAGTGCCAAATATGTGAACTGTGACAAAACATTTGTAGATAATGTAAATTTGAATTAAAATGTATTGAATGAAACGTCCAAATGTGTGTGTTTTGAACGTGTAATAATAATAATAATAATAATAATAATAATAATAATAATAATAATAATAATAATCATTGTTAAAATAATAATAATCATTGTTAGTGGAGTAGTGTGTCTAGTCTTTAGGTCTTCTTTTCTTTTAAATTTGTGTTATGTTCAACTATCTATATTTAATGTCATATTACAAAACAAACTTTTTCCAAGTTTTATATTACACGTTACTTTTTTATTCATCCTGGTATTTAACTACTTTTGAACTACTGGGGAGGCTGGTCCTAAATTTTGCACAAATGCTTTGTAAAGCAGAGGAAAAAAAATATGAAGGAGTTCAAAATACCTAAATGGTTATTCCCCGACATTTATGTAACTGATAAAGTAGTGTGACTAAGTCTAGTGAAGTAGTGGCATGCTGAACAGGATGGGGTGGTTGATTTAGGCCGGCAAGTTGGGGAATTAGGGCAAGACAGACAGCAGTGGCATGCTGGTTGGAGGATACAGGCAGAAGTGTTGAAGTCATGGATGTGATAAATAAATACCTGGGCAATGTCAGGTTATCATCTAGTTAAAATTTGTCAGTACCATTTATAGGATTATAGGTATACTAGTCACAACATGACAATAACATAGTGTAAATACAGCATTGTTCATAGCTCTCAATTATTTCCATGTAGGGTTAGCAAATTTATCACAATTCCTTGTAAAAAAGAAAAGAAAAAAAATTAAAAAGAAAAGGAATCACTGTTATATCAATATGAAGAGAAAACAAAACTTATAAAATCTATGGATCAACACATACATAATTAGTGATCATTGAATATGTTTATATTGGAAATTTTAAGAAAGTAGTTTTGCATATGTGAATTCACACTGTATTTTTTACATAGTGTTTTTGTTTTTTTGTACTTGATTTGCATAAGTTTTTAATTTATATCTTTTTTTTTTCAGCTTCATGGTAATGTTACAGTACAACACATACGTAACTTTCTAGAAGCCTTGGATGAAAAAGAAGCGGTTGAAGCAATAGATCTTATGTTGGCAAGACAAGTTGCTAATACAGGAGGTGATCAATGAGAACTTACACTGAGATACTGAGTGATATTCAGTATTATTTCAGCATTTGTAATTTAAATTTGCTCAGTTGGCCGCCAGAGTTCCATTTTGTGATAGTTTATTACAATGATTATTCCAGAAGAAAACTTGGCTAGATGACCAGAAAGCATGTTCTATATTGTACATATATTGTATAATTTAAGTATATTATACACCTATTGCGTATATATAATTATTTCTTGGAAATACTTCCATAGTTGAAAAACAAATTGTTACCTCACATTAGATGCTACTTCTCCTTTTTTTTTTTTTTAAGAAGAGCATAATGTTCTTTAAATTTTATTTTAAAATAAAAGTTTAGGATTATTGTCCATAAACTGAGCTAAAAATTGTGAGAAATAGCTGTTAATTTTCAATATTAAGATTATTTTTAACAAGATTTTGAGAATATGGAGGAAGTAGTTTGATTAATTGTCAATTAATAAAATGTTCTGTAATCAATACATTCGTTGGTTCTAATAAGTTCAACTGTGAAACATTCCTTTCTGGGGAATGAGAGGATGTAGTAGTACTTTGTTCTTAGGTTGCAAGATCATGTCTGTTTCCATTCTGTAAAATCAATAGCCTTTATGATATAGAGATTGACATATTGCTCTACACTATTGCATTAAAATTTTGTGTTGGATAAACACGTCTGCAGTAAACGTATTTTAAAACCTGGGAAGTCGGTGTAAGTGGTGCTAAGAAAAAAAATTGTGAATTTTATAAGAATACATTCAAAACATGTGAAAAATAGTGCTTCAAGCAAGAAATCAAGTTGTGAAACAACTTTAACTGAATTTGGATTCTTCACAGACTAGATAAAAAAAGGTCCAGTGGGCCAGTGATTTGAACATTTGACCTTGCACCTTCAACTGCGTTTTCACATCTTTTTCAACTTAACGGTTAAGAGGAGAAATATCACCTTTTGTTTTTTTATCCACTGTTACATTTTTGCTTGTTGTAATACTACAACCCTGGAAAATTTATGTGACAATATTTTTGTTAAAATTTTTCATTCAAAGTAAACTAATGTTAATATATTCAAAGGAAAAGATTATCTAAGGTACAATTGTTTGTTATTGTTCATGTTTAACTCAAATCATATATTAAGACTTAGAATGTCAGTTTGTTTAAATATTGTTCATCAATCTAATACAAGTATTGTGTATTATGATGTGATATACTTTTAAAAATTTATTGAGTTTTTAAATTTACTTAAGAGTGAATTTTAGTGTTTGCTTTTACATGATATGTATCACTTGATCTTCTGTAGATAAGTGCATTCATCTGTGTGTGGCATCTCAATTTTCTACTTTTTTTTCTAAAATTGTTTTTAATGTGCACTTGTAAATATAGACTTTGTGCATGTGAATCCAATTTCTATTATAGAGTTGCAATATCCATTTTTAATTGTAAGGTAAATTAATGTATATTTATGTATTAAGTGACATAAGTAAAAAGAAAATTATTTATTTTTGTATAATATTCCAGTGTTGTTGGTTAATTTTAATGAGAGAAATAAAAGTCCTTTAGTATTTTTTGATACTGCAAGATATATTCGTGTTTCAGTGCAAGTAGATTCTGAATGTGGAAAGTGTTGCAATGATATGGTTTGTGGAACATTCTTAGCATGAGATTGTCAACATTACATTTCAATGAATTGAATCGCTTCAAAATTCAGTTTCTTCGTACCAAACGAGCTGTTTGAAATGCAAGGGGTGGAGAAAACTAGTTTGCCAGTCAGATCAAAACTTCACCGTCGTAAGAAAATGTCAAATTTTTACAGAACTGAGTAAATATTTCCCAGTTCGTCAACGCGATTTCGTCTCCCCTCTCCCTTTCTGGCCATTTTCCACCCGCCATCTCGCTGGTTGTCACCCCTCAGTGCGGCTCTGTTTACACTTTTCGCCCAACCGTGCCTCGAGGCGGTCCCTGTCGTAACTCGGGGAGGGGGAATGTTACAATGGGAGGGGTTTCACATCTCAATCGCATCGCGACGTGCCGGCAGCTACCAGGCGAGTGTGTTCCTGTGTGGCCGCTAGAGTGAATCGCTGTTCTGGCTGTGAGACTGAATCGACATCTCTACATCAGCACACCTTGTAAATACGCTTCATTTGATCCATCTCCCACCGAACATGGCCAATCGAAGCCCTGCCATCAAGTATACGCAAGTAAGAACCTTTCCAGCTATGCTTTCTGGTGCAAATTTCACACAAATATTGGATACTTTGCTACCTCAATTCTTTATAAAGTATTGTAAGAAACCCTTCCGATAAATTGTGTTAAAGAGCAATAACAATATCAAAAGTTGTTACAACAGCACATACTTTCTCGAAATATTACGATGTTATCGTTATGTACTTCAGGACGCCCCATAATGCTTCATTAATTTCAAACAAATTACGCAAAAACTAACTTTTACAAAAAGAATTGTACATGACTGTTTGTTAAAGAGCAACTTTTGTACAACAGACTTTGAGGCAAACATCTTTATCTTCAATTTTGTAGTTGACCTTTTTTTTTATTGCAATTTTCGATAAGTAAAACCTAGCAATATCCGAAAATGGGATTAGCATCATATTTTTACCGTCACTTATTACACATGTAGAGAAAATTCAAAGAAAAAATTTTGAGAAATATTTTTTTCGTATATTTCAAGCGCATATTACGCAAAAACTATTCGTTTCTTTAAAAAAATTGTACATGGACCTTTTTTAAATAGCTAATTTTGTGCAACACATTGTGTAAGGTAAATACTATTTTCAATTTTGTAGGTTAATTGTTTTTGCAGTTTTCGAAAAATTCAGCAATATCCAAAAAGGGACTAGCACCATATTTTTACTGACCCTTACTGCATAAGTTTAGAAAATTTAAAAACTTTTTAAGCTGTTTTGGGGATATAAAAATTGCGATAATTTCAAGCGCAAATTACACAAACTACTCATTTTTTCAAAACATTGTACATGTCCTTTTTTAAAATGCTAATTTTGTACAACATACTTTGGGGGGGGAGAATTCTATCTTCAATTTTATAGTCTTATTATTCTTTGAAATTTTCGAAAAGTCGGGGATATCAACGAAAGTGAGATCTGCTTAAACGTCCTTCGCGCCATTCAAGAGCAAAATCAAAAAAATTGGAGCCATTTTTTTTTAAATGTCAGAGGTTTTATGTAAAATACCCCCGAAATTAAAATATCGGTTTCAAATTCCAGGGGCCGCGACATCAGCCAGAACGATTGGGAATATCAATTTTGGAGAAAATCGGCTGAACGGTTCATGGGCTGGCGTTGTGCACAGACGGACGGCACGTTTTACCGTCAATCGATTTTTCGGTATGAAGGACACACTATTTCTCTTTTTTTTCTATCTATATTTAGCAGAACTGATTACTGAACAGCAGCGGATCCCGCGAATGGGGGGGGGGGGCAGGCTCTACCTCAATCCATTTTTTTAATAAATTTATTCAAAACAATTGTCTCACTGATATTACATTCCAAAGCATTATTTTCATGAAGCGCGCACAGACGTGATTTCAAAATGGCTCAAAGCTGTGTATGACAGGCGTCCTTTATCGCGTTTTGTTTCTACCCTGTCAGTGCAAGAAAACCGTAAAGCGCTCCAAAATCTACATTACTATTTTCTAATATGCGTAGAAAAGAAAAGAATGCATTCTCGGGTCGCGAGTGAGATGTCTACAGCATCGTTAGGTACCCAGGAACTACGGAAATCTAAAAACGGTTTCTATTTTGAATCAAAAATGAAAATATTTAATTGTGAGTGGATGGATTCCGCCTATGCGATCCGATTGAATTATAATAGTCGGTACATCGCTGCTTTAAACACAACTGACTTCAGGCGACAGCAAGGCTCCAGGGAAGAGGTCGCACGCATTTGAATATTTACTATTAACGTGATACGAAATGGAACCGCGACTATTTTGATATTTTTAATATATAAAGAAATGCACTGTAAATACTATACTATGTTATTGCAGAATTTGTGATGTTTTTGTTAATACATTTAATTTACTGCATTGCCATATGAGAGTACTTTCTGCTGTTCGTGAATAGTGTGCACGCAACATTTTGGGAAACCATTTTATGTGACTTTGTTGAACTGCATTTTTGGTGCGGCAAGCCAATCTTCTCAATATACAAACATTTTAAAACAAAGTTCAAGGAACGGCCATTGATGATCTGGTTTATCACAAATTCCAAGCTTTATGAAGATTTTGGTGCCTTCAGAGAACATCAAAAATGCCCTATTAAAAAACAAGGCGCCAAATTTGAAGCAATATATATATATATATATATATATATATATATATACATATATATATATATACATATATATATATATATATATATACATAGAGGGAGAGAGAGAGAGAGAGAGAGAGAGAGAGAGAGAGGGAGGGAGAGAGAAAGACCTGGATGGTCGAGGTGGCCATAGCGTGTGCCGACTCAGCGCCACGGTCCGAAGGGTTGTCTGCCTCTTGTCCTCTTGTCTTTCATGTATGTGTGTTGCCGCGGAAGGCCTTGTGAGTCTGCTGACCACAGACCGAGGAGCCCCGTATGTGTCAAGTGTAATGGTAAATGTGTCCCCATGAGGGTCATGTTGATACCCGGCGCGGATAGCTGAAGTAGGCATCTTCTGAAGCAGGGAAAAGACTCCCGGAAAGAAGAAAAATAAAATAAAAAGGTTCTTCCGTGGCCGGTATCCACATTTCTGAGCCAGTGTTAGACAACAAGGATGAAAATGCATTTCTGAGACCGGGCTCGTCAAACCGAACCGCACGAGCTACTTGCCTGCCTGAGAGTCCGGCGCTCCTACGAGCACGGGCAACTTACCCTCACTCCGCACTATTTATTTATTTAGCAAAAAACAGTAAAATGCGTATGTAGTGTATGGGGGGGGGAAGATAATCTGCGCACGAGTTCTAAAATCCCTTCCCATCATTTTAACTATAAATAGTTGAAAAATGAGTAAAAGTTAAAGATAAATAAATAAAAATACAATTTTTAAAAAGCCCGAGATTAGCGACATTTGAAAAAACTAGACGTTTTTGTTCCCGAGTTGTAGAAAACGTATTTGCAAAGCTAAACGAACTGCAGATTTTAGTTTCTGAATTACTAACAATTACCTTACCTTACTCTTACGCGCCCTTACCTCTACTCCTACCACTACAAGCAAAAGGAGAGTTCAACAAGAAGTGCGCGCCGATCCGGTGGCCGAGATCGCGCGGAAGGCAGTAGTGCCGTAGCGAACTCGCACCGAAGGATCGCGGGTTCGAGTCCCGCCTGGGGCATGGTGGTATTGTGTTTCGTCCTTTCACCCCCTATCATCATCATCATTATCGTGTCAACCCACAGTTACCATACCGTTACAAGCAATAGTGGTCGCTAATGACCTAGTAGTTGATGCGACCTTAAATAACAAAAAAAAAAAAGTGCGCGTAGTGAAAGAATTCTGATTACGTTATATAATGAACTTAATTTACTGTTTAATTCTGTTATATGTATTGTTCCATTTGAGGTTTGACTGAACTGAGAGACCTAGAAATTTTGTTACAACATAAGCTAATTGCATATTGGTCGTTTTACAATGGAGCATGCGATTGCTGACTTGAAATGCAAAAATGCGTTGAAACTGGTTTTCCTTTGTTAACTATTAATGCGTTATTACAAAACCAATTTGAAACTTCTGAAATAGTACTTTTTATTGTTTTTTTGTTGTTGTTGTTGTTGTCAAGAACATTCGTGTCATCGGCAAACAGAACTGTTCTTCTGTTTTTAATAGGCGAGGGCGTACCGTTTACGTATAACAGAAAGAGGATAGGACCTAATGTCGTACCTTGCGGAACCTCATTTTCAATTGGCAAAGAATTGGAAAGATAAATAAATAAAGTTCTTTCGTGTCATTATCAGTACGGAATTTCTACTCTTTGAGATCGGTGTTATCCAATTTAGGGCGATACCATAAGAACCAATTCCATAAGAAGGTAATTTTAATAGCAAGATGTTATGGTCAATAGCGTCAAAAGCTTCCGAAAGATCTAAAAATATTCCAATGGTTGCTTCAATTGGGTCCATTGATGAAGCAACATTTTTAAGAAAAGAAAAAATGGCAGTTTCCGTAGATTTTGATTTTAAAAAACCGTGATGCGAGTCTGAAAACGTTTCGTTTTTCATGAGAAAAGTTTGCATTCGCTTATAGAAAATTCTCTCTAATATTTATGAGAGAACTGACAAGAGAAATTGGCCGGTAATTTTGAATTTCATTTTTGTTCCCTTTTTTTAAAAAGTGACTTTATTTGTGATGTTTTGAAAATACTGGAAATATTCCTGTGCATTAAGAATCATTGAAAATGTGAGTTAAGTGGTGTAAACAGACACACAAGTTTTCAATGAACAATCCGGATATTCATCTAAACCAGATGAATATTTATTTTTTAATTTACTATTTTCAGGATTTTGTTAGAAGTTTCGGAAATAATCATGTCGAAAACTTTTCCCTTAAAATCCAGAAGGGGTACGGAAGCTGAAGCGGCGCGAGGCGGTGAACAGTGACTTCATGCAATATTTTTGCCAGATTTTTGCTATCAAGTTTACCGAGAACTGTGTTATGTTTATTCTTTGGAACTTATTACTATTTGAGGTACACTTTCTTACTAAGTTCTCCCTTATATAAACACCTTTGCTAAGTGACAGAACTTAATATGAATGGCGAATTCGTTTTGTGTTGTTTAATTAAATCATTCGGTTATTTATTGTATTTAGCAATAATGTGAAATAAATTAACAACTCTCGCTTACGGCCAGACATAACTTTCAAGACGAGTATATTTGTCTGTGAAACCTTTTAAACTAAATTTAGTAAGTTAATGCATTTGTATCACTCTTAAGTAAACAGGATTACAAAATTGAGATACTTTGGATTCAATTTTTTTTTAATTTTACTCTCAACCGAGAATTTAAAATCTGATGTTTTTTTAAATTTTATTTTAATGGATATTTCTTGTAAAAAGCGAAAATGGGAAGTATTGTACCTCTTGAGGCTGACTAACCGTGAACTGACTTCTCGTAAAGTCTGTCATAAACCAGATATCCAGTGACATACCGCCACTCCTGATTTATACAAACCTTTCTTTAAAATCTCGCGCCAATTTCTCAGGACGCAGTGCCCGCGAGATCTAGTATGCTTCTTAACTTACCCGCGGCCTTGAGATGTCTGTTTCAGACGATTTCATAATCCACTATTCGTTTTGAAAGACAGTGGTCTTATTAACCATTCTTCTCACAACCGAAGTAATTTTGCCCCAAGAATACAAATCGTACACCATACTTCTTACGGCAAGTTTTTATGATATAGTAATATTTTTTTTATTTTTCCTGTTTCAGCTCTTTATCAACAATGAATTCGTCCCCTCCGCCTCTGGCAAGACATTTCCTACGATAAACCCAGCCACAGGGCAGAAGATCATCGACGTAGCTGAGGCTGACAAGGTACGAATGCGTCGAAATATGTCGAGAGCTGATATTGTGCATTACGTCGCTCGTTCAAATACAAATAGTTGGCTAACGTCCGTTCTCCACAGGCCGACGTGGATGTCGCCGTAGCGGCGGCCAAGCGAGCTTTCCAGAGGGGTTCGGAGTGGAGGAACTTGGACGCTTCTGCCCGAGGCCGCCTCCTCAACAAGGTGAGCTAACGACTTCCTTTGTGTGCGCGCCGCCGGCTGCGTTTCCGGTTCCCGTGCGTACGAAACTTCGCGTGCAGACAAACTGTGCGCAGCAGCACTCGCCAAAAATAAGTAACAAATTGCTCTTACTTGTAAGTTGACCTACTCTCGATTAGCTCGCATAACATTGTCATGTTGCTTGAGTAACATGCAACATCTACTTTGCAAAAATAATGAGCGGAACTCTTGATGTGGTTGTTTTGTGTACGATTTTTAAAATGCCTTTTAAATTCAATCTTTCATCATTTCTTTTATAACGAAAAGAATTATTCCACAATAACCTTTCAGATGATAGCTTTATTTTCCTACATAAGTGCAAAAATAGAAATATTGGAATTACTTCTGAGAATGTTCCGTAATCAGAATGAATGGACTTAAGTAATTCCGGTTTGATACGCTGTGTATAACCTCAACGTTACGAAGGATGCCAGTAAGTTGAAAATGCTGTCGACCAGTAGCGGAGGAAGGGCACCACAGCCCCCGCGACTGCGGAAGGGCCCAAAAGCAAAGAGGGCGTAATGTTTCAAAACATTTTTAAGGAAATAAATGTTTTTGAAATTAAGGATACTAAACTGATCTACTATTTACTAGAAATAGAAAGCTATGCTATGAAATAGCCAAAACATTTAGACTTTTAGAAGCAATTTAAGGAAGGGCAGTTCTTGAATGTTGGAGCTATATTTCGAGAGCGGGGAGGTTTGCTCGTCAAAATCTGTGTCTACAAATGACTCTTTCGTCCAAATATTCGAAAGACTTATGTCTACATCCATATCACTGAAGGACCTTTTCCCCCGTTTGTAAGGCATATTTTGTTTATTTATGAAATTGCGTATTACAGCAGTAGCAGCTGAACTTGTTTCAAAAATGAAATTAATAGAAATAATTTTTGAAAGTCAGTGATTCTGGAAAGATGCATTGGTCTCTCAATTTTTAGAATTGAATATAATACAAGCACATATTAATATGATAAAAGACGCACAATGATATGCTAATAGATTTGTTTACTAAATCTAGAAGAATCATACATTTTGATTTGAATTAGAAAATATTTGTTATTTGCATAACATAATAAAATGATATCCGGTCAGATGGCCGAGATCGTTAGCCAGTACTGTCGTAGCGGTCTCGAACCAGAGGACTGCGCGTTCGAGTCCCGCGTTCCGGCACGGGTGTACTCGTATTTCTGTAGATATGTGCAGTCCTTCACCCCTCTATGATCCTATCGTCCATACCACCAGGGCTAACAACATTGGGGGGAATTCAACTGAAATGTTGACTCCCCCTCCCTCAGAAAAGTACTTGCACCTGCTAAACCAGGATGCACGCGTGATCCGAGTTGGTCTATGCGCGAAAAAAAATGTAAAAAGTTTATCAAAAAGGATACGTTAAGTGATTGGCACTCTTAAGTTATTAGTATAATATAAATGAAATTATTGAAATTAATTATAGTTTAAGTTAATTGCATCAAATAAGAAACAAATTAATTGTAGACAGTTAAATAGATAGTAGAAAATAGACAGTAGAAATTAAAGACAGTCTAAAGTTATCACTATAGTGGTAGCTGTGTATAATTGTTAAAATGTTTAATACTCTTCATCGCTTCTTGCCTTCCTTTTGCACCATCCTTAGATAGGACTAGCGGAACCCGGCAGATGTAGTTCTGTCCTTCATCTCCCTCTTTCTCATCCCCTCTCCCTTTCTCACTCTAATCCTGTCAGAGTCTGACTTTGTCTCTCTCACTGTCTTCTCCTCTCTCCCTGGCTCTCTCTGTCCCTGTCCATCCCCCTCCCTTTTCCGAATCTCTCTGCGTCTTTCTGTCTGTCTCTGTCTCTCTCTGTTCTAGTACATTCTGAAAAGACTAGAAAACCTTGCTTTGGAGGATATTTCAAGGTATATAAGTGGTGAACACAGTGTACCGTTGCTGTTTTTCCGGCATAACGAGAGTCCTTAGAATCCTAATTTTTGAGATTCAGAATTTTTAAATTGTGAGAAAACATACATTCTTAAAAGAAAAATACTTATGTCAATGAATTATATACATTGAAAAATAATAAGTCGTCGAATGTCCTTGAAGTTGGTACCACTGACATAGCGAAGACCACTCAAATCATTACCATTAGTTTACCACAGTTGCCACAGTTACCACTACCACAGTTGGTTCCACAATAACACTCGTTTGTACCAAAACTACTTACAAGATGCAGCACTTCCAATTATGGTAGTGCCAACTTCACATTGGCACCGCCACCATCGTAAAAAATTGGAACCATTCGCCACTCGCGATTGAGCCGTATTAAAATGGCAACTCAAGACACACATATTGTAATATAACATCAAGTAAACAATTACCATTAATTATTACATTATACATTTACTAATTTCATTGAAAGTAAAGGTTTAGTCTTACCTGAAATGCTTGAAAATAAACTCCATTCTCCTCTCTTGTTTGGTAAATTCTTCGGTGACATCATAATAGAAGGTAGCAGAACTTATTTCTGTTAGTTTTTCGTTCTCAATTGACGTGAGTGCCAAATTACTCAATCTTTTTTGTTCTTGTTTGATCTTCCGAAATATTTAAAGGTTTTAGGGCATAACTACTTTTTAACCATGCTTATGAACTGAGTATAATTAAAACAAGCAAGTCAAATCTGTATAATTCTCAAAATGCTAAATGATTTCCTTGTACCCTGCTTGCCTTCAGGTCTTTCACTAAATCATGGGGAAATTTTACACGAAATTCCATTTAGTAGAGTACTGTCATTTCATTATTATTTATATAATAGATCAAAATAATTATCGTGTGGTCCGTAAAGAGCATCCGTGGCGGAAGGGAACGTTGATTTGTAACACATGACTTAAGTTGGATCTAGTACACACAAAATTCTAATTGTGGGAATTTCCAAACCTATTCTTTGTTTGTAATGCCACATTATCTATTATTTCAAAAATAGCCGTCTGCGTTTTATTGCATTATCTTCAGGGCAAAGGTACGAATATCTATACTGCGAATTATCTAAATCTGCCCCTGGCAGGTATCTGCTGTTGACGGTTTCATCCAATCGGGAGCTTGAACGTCACCATAGTGGCATCAATATGGATGACGTTTAAGCTCCCGATTGGATAAAACTGTCAATAGCTGATACCTGCCAGAGGCAGAGTTAAGAAAATTGCAGTATACTTTTGCGCGGTACATTTTCAGAGCGCGGTACATTCAGTTGATTAGCTACACACTATTCATAAAATTTGGATCTATTTGAATTAGCATTCTCTCTCCATCGCTTTTTCGGTACAATAACGGTTATCCAAATGTTTTGTTTGAAGAACATTACAAAAACGTCGGTGCTGACATTCTACTTTTTTAACAACCGGTTCTCCAATGATTTCCATTAACTTGTATTTTTTTATTTAAATATAGATTAAATAGTTCATTAAATGAGGTAACATGAGGTTCTTTTTAAATTTATGGATACAGTAGTTTAAGAACAATTCTACCTAAAGGTTTAAAAAGTGATAGCATCAATAATATATCAGTAATTGTAACACGCTGGGCAATGAAAATATCTATATTTACTGGACATTACTAATCGCAGAAATAAAATTTTTAATTTTATAAGGAGTACCTTTTTGAAGGTGTTGCTGCAAGTTAGTCATACATTCTCAGCAAATTTAAAGTTCGACGTATTTGCCTTTGTTAATTAACTCTTCATTTTCATAATGTCCTCTGAACGACAATTTTTGCTAAAACAAATCATGTCGCGTCAAATTAGACATTTTAATGTCCCCCTTCTTCCTAACAGTGTCATTACGTGGTTTTACATCTGATCTCAATTGTAGATAAACTTGTTTCGATGCGACACTTCCAAAACTGGTTAGCTGTACAAAGTGAATGCAAATGAATTTTTAATTTTTATGTTTTGAGATTGCTTTTGAGAGAGATTGTTCATATTGTTATAGTTTTCTTTGTTCTACACATTAAGGTCATGGAAGAACAATAAACATGGCCAGCAAAATAATTTATTGAGTTTTCTGCTTTCTGTTAACCAATTAGTGTTTTCGTAATTTTTAGTATTAAAGTAGTAGAAATACTCTCTTCCCTTTTATTTGTGCAAACACGTGGTCAGGAAGTTCAGGAACAGGCCTGTCCACACGAATATAAATTTTATCCACAACAGTACTACTGAACGATTTTTTATCCTCAATTGTATATGTATTTTCTGCCATAGCACAATATCTTACCGCTACGTAGCACAAAAGGCAGCTCTAAGAAATAACACGCACACGGAAATAATATGCATAGTATTAATAACACGCACAGATTAACTAAATACACAAGTAAAAGTACGTCGTAATATAACCAGCAGTTACCAGGCGCCGTTTACCACTGTCCTAAGCGAATAGAAAAGAGCGCATGCGCACTGCGCAATGCATTCCGGCATGCTCAGTTCGGGCCGGTTTGCGGCGCCTGTAGCTCTCTCTCTATCAGCCTCAGCATTCTAAGCTCAATACAGGGCCGCGCGCCTCTGAATGCAAGTGTACACTCTTTGTCAGAAATTTAAAATCCATGCACACGCAACACTTGCCGTACTAGATACTCCGATTGTCATGAAAATTTACCAGCTTGTTTAGGACTTGTGAAAACTTAAAAAAATTTTTTAAGTGCAACGAAGCATTGTAAGTAATATTTGTGAGGCATGTAGTATTAACTTCCTATAGATGGGCGGAAATCGCCGCCCACCGCCAGTCGTTGTTATTAACGATTGTTAACTCTTACGCCACGCCCCCATTATCAGCCTGTCTGTCGACACGGTGTCAATTGCCTCGGAGAGCATGTTCTGGAAATATCTCGATAATAATATAAATAAATAATTAATAAATTTCAGTTTTGCGTTAAAAACAAAATTTTCACAATGAGATTCTAACAAAAAAGTATCTAAAACAGAGCAACATATTGGTTTACGATA